GTGTGTGTGTGTGTGTGTGTGTGTGTGTGTGTGTGTGTGTGTGTGATTGCGGCTGCTAGATACCGTTTCATCGGCTCCAGCTCTTGGCAACCCCATGGACAATAGAACACTACCCGGTCCTGCGCCATCCCCACAATCGTTGTTAGGTTTGAGTGCGCTGTGCAGTCACTCTGTCAACCTGTCCCACCAGGGGGCTTCCTCCTTTTCGCTGCCCCTCTCCCTCGCCAAGCATGATGTCCTTTCCCAGAGCCCGGCCTCTGCTGGTACTACGTCCAAAGTAAGTGGGATGACGTCTCACCCTCCTAGCTTCTAAGGAGCCTTCTGGCTGCACTTACTCCCAGGTAGACCTGTTCATTCTTCCCGCAGCCTGGTCTCCACCAGCCCCCCGGTGATGGATGTGCCCGCCTGAACTCGTCCTTCTAGCCTGCATTCATTTGTTCCCATGGGGTTCACACAGTCCTTCCCCTCCCTTCCTGACGGGATCTTTGCATTCGGTGGCTGGCTGTTTGGTGGCCTTCTCCTGCCTGCTGACGATAAAGGGGCTGCAGCACCTGGCTGTACTTCTCTTGCTCGCCGCACAGTGGGGATTTGTTGGGAGAAAGGCCTTCCCGGGAGGCTTTTGGCAAATCGTCTCCTGGAGTCACTTGTCCTCCTGGAAGAACTGTTTCTGAGACCTCTCTTGGTGGTTTCTCCGACCTGAAGTTGTATCAGGCGCCAGTTAAACTGCTCATGAGGGTTTCCCAGACAATAACGCTTGACGCGAGTAGAAAGCCTCACCTTTCTCCCGCTGAACAGCAGGTAGTTTCGAACTGCTGACCTTCCTGTTAGCAGCCCGATCCATAACCACTATGCCACCAGGGTGTGGATGTCCCAACCAGGTGTGCCCCACAGTGGAGGGAACAGTTGTTTGGGGAGCTGAGATCCTGTGTCCCAAGGGGAGGCCTGGGCTCTAGTGGCTGCCCCGTGGCAGCTTGCCCATCCAGGGGCCAGCCGCTGTGGACAGACTGGTGCAGGGGGTTGGTCATCCTGGATGGAATCACCTGGTGGAGGCCAGTCACCAGGAGCCTTCTCTGCCCTCAGTACCCCTGGATCCAGTCGCCTGAGCCCTGAACCTAAAATCTCACTCCAGCACATCTTTGAAAGGAAGACACGAGCTGTCTGGGGACCAGAGCTGCTCAGGGACCACCAGCAGCATTCTGAGTGCAGTCTACGCAATGGATGAGTGGAGACTGGGGCCACTTGTATCCAATCGATGCTCACTCTGGTTGGCAAAGGGCAAGTCAGTGCGCTCCAGAGCCCCAATGCCCCTGAGAGTCAAATGACTCGGTCCCCCAACCGGCAAGGGCCCGGGGTGGACTCAGGGCCACCTGGCTGCGGGCGGGCAGTCTGAGGAGGGACGGAGGAGCTTGGGCTGGGGACCAGCTTGCTGTCCAGCGAGCCCCGCCCCGCGGCAGCCCCCAGTAGGGCGCGGGGAACAAAACTGGAGGGGGCAAGGGAGGTGGCCGTGGTCGGGGACGGGGGTGGGGGTAGTGGCCGTCGCGGGGGGGCCTTGGACGGGTGGAGGGGAGCTCTGGCAGCGACGCGCACGAGCCAGGCCAGGGCGCTCACGACCTCGGGCACCGCCTCCTCCCGCAAGGAGGCCGCGGGGGGCGCGGGGCGCGGCGGGC